AATTCTGAAAGAAGAAAAGTTGAAATATTGCCTTTGTGCTTCCTGGGGACCATAAAGAGCCTACATTGCTTTTGTATATATATGTACATCGTTTTTCCCCAGGATATTGTTAATAATTATATTTCCTGCAATTAAAGAGTAGAAGTGTAATGATATATTCTGGCAATTATAATATTTCTCTGTATACTGTGTTTGAACAATGAGTTCATTCTGATTTTAATAAGAGTTTTCCTCTGAAAAACATAAAAAGTAGTCTGAGTACTAGTGGAACAGTGAAACTGATAGATGCAGAAAGTATAAACAAAACCATAAGATGACAGGAGAGCCATAACCCTGTTCTCTGCTTTGAGCAGGCACATATGGTTTTACAGATGCCTGCTAAAGCTAGGAGCTTTCATGGGGCAGATAGTAGGGGTGGATCTCAGTTTATGCAACTTTCAACTAAAAATTTATTCCCAATTTTCAAAAAAAAAAAAAAAAAGAGAAAAGTAATCTCCTGTGACAGTTGACTGCGTCCTTGGAACCTAAAGAACGATGAGCAAAAGGCATCTTCTGCATGAGTAACGGTGTCTTCTTGATCGCTCGCCGCAAAACGGAAGGGCATTTTTGTCATACGTTAGGAAGTATGCCTTTTCAAACAGTTCTTAACTTGGTCTTTGATTTATTTTATTTGCTCTCAGTGCAACAGCTTCTTCTGCATTTTTATACTTTTTGAATGTAGTAACTTCTCTAAATAGTAATTTCTAAGGAAAAGCTGTTGAAGTTATGTAATAGTTGATATGCATTGATGAATTTTCTTTCCCTAGCAAAGAAGGTGAATGGAATAGACCCAGGAGGCGGTGGTGGCGGCAGCAGCATTGGCAGTGCCAGTGGTCAGCAGACACCTTTGTTTGAAACTTACTCTGATTGGGATAGAGAAATCAAAAGGACAGGTGCATCAGAGTGGAGAGTTTGTTCAGTCAATGAAGGTTATATGATATCTACTTGGTAAGTTTTTCTTACAACACAAGCAAGCATGGAAAAAAAACAAGGCAATTGTACTGTCTTTTCCTGTCTCCCAGCATGTATCTATCTCCTCTATCCTATCAAAACTCCTGTCAAAACCTCCATTCTCCTTACTGGTGCACTTCACCTCTTAAGCCTCCCGCTCTACGGAGAGGTCCTCTGTCGGGAGATCTTGCAGGTGTTGTCATTATAAGAAATGTAATATTTGGGAAACATTTATAATCTGGCATCTGCTGCTTTCATGCTTCTGCACTTCCCTCTGAGACATGCAGGTTTCTGAACAAATACATCTGAGCTGCACCAATAATGAATGACATGTAAGATGCTGCAGACATATAGAACAACTAGGCAGTACTGTGGCATTAGGAGCTGGTGCATTGTAGTTTACCAGATTTGGAAAACCAGCAGTGCTACAAGAGAAAAGCTGTTAAAATCCTTATGGAAAAAGTAATCTTTTGTATCTTATTTTTTCCCCAAGCCTTCCAGAATACTTTGTGGTCCCATCTTCCTTAGCAGATCAAGACCTTAAGCTATACTCTTACTCTTTTATTGGGAGACGAATGCCGGTAAGTGTAGTCTTTATTATGTTACTCTTCACGGTCATCATACAGTATTTATCTTAAAGATATATATGCAGATCAACATAGTTTTCTGCAGAGTTTAAAAAAAAAAACTTTTTGCATGGAAAAAGGCTAACCTGTTCTTTGTTGTTTGTTTCTTTCGTTTTTTTTCCCACATAAGTTATGGTCCTGGAATCACCCTAATGGGAGTGCTCTTGTAAGAATGGCCAACATTAAAGATGTACTGCAGCAAAGAAGGATTGATCAAAGGTAAACAATCAGATAAAGTTGTTCTCTAACAAGACACAGTATAAAGCAAGTGGTGATTGTGTGTAATACACAGAATAATTTGTAATTGGGATCATACTTGTTGCTTAATGTTCCAGTGCAGTAGCTTTTGAGAAACAAAAGCCCTGAATAGTTCTGGCACAATTTCTATTCAAGGTCCGTTTCATTTGGAATAATTAATATTTTTTCAAGTTTTAAGGGTTGTGCGTTTTTAGGCTGCTAATGTTTCAGAAAGAAAGAATTTCTTGATAAATACTTAGTTTAGGACTAAACTTACTCTTTTGCATTGATATTATTATAACATAAATTTTGTGGGTGGAGAATTTCTTACCTGCTTCAGCAAGACGCGGTAAGAATTATTTAATTTATTTGTGGCATTTTGAAAATGTAGTTTTATAGATTTAGTGCCACAATGCAAACAGTATTTCTGTGAAATACTTCACGTTCACTGTCCTTGATGGAAGATGAAGGCATTTAGAGCCTTGCATAAGTAGCTTACTCGCTTGGTATTTCTTTGCTCAATTTGTTGGGTGGTTTTTTGAAGATCTTGTATTGCATCTGTTAGGCTGGAGTACTGAGTCTTATTTGAATCTCTGTCAGATTTACTGATGCGTATACTTCAGATGTGTTCTGTTTATTTAGCCTAGATAAATCTTTCTAAAAACCGTGGAAAATTAGAAATTGAATAGTGATGAGTTATTAAATCTATAACTTGTTTCAGCAATCCAGTGTTTGCATTAATTAGCAAATATCAAAATATTTGAGCCAGTGACTTTACAGCAGGAGCAATATATTTCCTAAATACAAACCAGGACGTGGGTTTTTTTTTAATGACAGGCATGTTTTTGGTTGTTTGCAGTTTTAGACTTTGGAATGTTTCTTAGAAGGCTCTTTCTCCTCTCTGCAATAGGAAACTAACAGATTCTTCTTATGTTTTTTTTGTTTTTTTTTTTTAAATTAGAATTTGTAATGCGATAACTCGAAGCCATCCCCAGAGAAATGATGTTTACAAGTCTGATTTGGACAAATGTCTCCCCAGCATCCAGGAAATCCAGGCTGCACATATCAAACTCAAACAGCTGTGTGTTAATGGTAGGCTGGACTGTAGTTCTTTCACAGTTGGTTATTTTCTTGAAATACAACAATTCTAACAGATCTTGTTAACCAGAATAGTTATCTGAAATTATTCGGCAATGTTATTACTTTCCTTATGACAGAGCCTTTTGAAGAAACAGAAGAGAAGTGGCTATCCTCACTGGAAAATACTCATTGGTTAGAGCATATCAGGTTTGTACCATTACTAAAATGATGGTTAGTGGGATGTGTTAATCTTTCACCAGCGTAAATAAGCATTGAATCAATCAAAGGATTCTCTCTTTTAATAAACAAATAAGGTAAATGTAGATATCCCTAATTTTCACATAGAGAGTGAACCTATGGTATTAATTATTGTGTCACTATCTTCTCTTGTCTAGATCATTTCTTAAGCATTCTGCTGAACTTGTGTATATGATGGAATGTAAGCATGTCTCCGTAGTTCTACAAGGTAATATAACCATGTAGCATGCCATAACTCTTAGTATTAGCATGATAAAGTAGATTGCATCACGTTTAGATGAAATATGTTGTAACCTGTATACATAAAGCCCACCATTTCTAAATATTTCAGGCATCTGAGGATTTAGAAAGGAAGCAAATTTTATTATGTACCTGGACTGTAGCATAGTCTGTAGCGTCAAAGGAATATTTGAGTCGTTTCATTTTTTCCTCTGATAAAGAAATAGTGGAATCCAAGCTATAGGGTGAACTATTACCTTGTCTTAATTAGGCTAATATTTCCTGCATAAGCAATATCAATATTTTTCAGAGGTTCCACATACAAAAACATTTCACTAACATTGGCTGCTATTGTGTATGTGCAGACATTTTCCAGAGCAGAAGGACTTTGAAAAACTTGCTGATAACTAGATCAGAAATTTTGTAAATTCTGTAATTTACAGAATTTCTCTTCAGCCGGTGTATGACGCTCTCCCCATATAATGGACTCCTAAAACCGCTTTAGCGTTGTGATAGATGAATGACATGCCTTATCTGATCATTACTTACAGAAAGAGTCCAAAAAATATCAGCCTGAAGTATTTTATTACTCCAAGGGTGGAAGATATGTTGAAACTTTCCAGCAACATGAACACCCTCCTTTTCAGCACATCTTGGTGTAAATACTGTGCTTTTGGGTGGGTATTTGATTCTTGATAAAGGCACTGCTCGGCTGGATACCACAGGAATCTTTACTATAGTATGAGTCTCAGGAAAATAAAGCTGTTTTTTTCTTCTAGCATTTTTGAAACTGGGAGAACGGTTACAACAACAAAAAGCACGTTTTAAAAGAAATACAGAGAAAGCACTAAACCTGTTTGCTGCTTTTTTGCCCTTTGAGATGTAATTCTGTATATGTATCTATACTTCATGTATGTCATATATTCTCTGTTATTCACAGAGGAAGAGGGACGGGACCTGAGCTGTCTCGCTGCTTCACTTATTCAAGTCATGCTGGATCCCTATTTTCGAACAATCGTTGGATTTCAAAGCTTAATACAGAAGGAATGGGTCATGGCAGGATATCAGTTTTTAGATAGGTGTAACCACTTAAAGAGATCTGACAAAGAGGTAAAATGAATTGTACTTGTGTGTGATAACAGCAGACAGTTAATATCAGCCTCAACACTTAGTCACACAGAAATACTGTAAGCTAAAAGATGTTTCTCATGCTTTACAAATTCATTAAGCTACCGTCAGAGAAAATGAGTTTTTGTCTTAAGACAGAGAGAAATTCTCTTTATCCTCTGTAGCCATTTGAGAATCGGTGAAACCCCAGGGGAAATCAAATGTTGTTGGATTTTTATGTCGCTACAGTGTTATACGTGAAAGTGTCTCACTTTCACATGAGCACAGCCCGTATTCTAGATTGAAATAAAATGAGTTCAGGATGTGTTGGGAGCAGGGGGGTTGTGTGTTTCGTCTGTTTTACCAAGGGCATCTCTTTTCTTTTCACCCCATTTTTCGGTATGGCAAGTCATATCTGTATGCAGAACTTTTCAAAGCACTGATCTGATAGAGAAGCAGTGGAGCTTTAGGAATACTGATACTCAGCTGCCAAACAGATAAATAGAGGGTAGCGCAGTGCTTGATACTCAGTATTTCCAGTCAGTGCTACTGTTGCTATAAACAAAGAGGACCCTAAGTTAGCAGCCTGTTTCACAACAATGCTCAAGAGAACTAGAACAACGGTGCCCTCGCAGAGTGGAGCAAACAGATGAACTGATGACCCCGTGAGCACTAGCCAGACAAGATAAGTGAAGGGGTAAAAGGAACTGAAATATCAAGGAGGGAATAACGAGAGAGCAGGCAACTTGACCCTAGGAAAGGATATATAGAAGAGTAAAAATGGGAAGAGGAAAATATTTTTAAGCCTTGGTATAAATGGTAGTTTATACTTTTGCCATTCATGGGCCAGTGCGGAAATAGCTAGAACATGTAGTGAGAAGTTAATGTGGCTGAATCACAAGCTCTCAAGTCATTTCAAGCAAGAAGTATTTGGGTTGTGAAAGTAAGTAAGGGAAAGGTTCATTTAAGGACTAATTGGAAACGATGAAGGACCTACAAGTTGGCAGGAAGCACGCTGTAGCTACATGACTTAAGACGAGAGCCCAGGAAAGAAGCGACTGGCTCCTCGAAGGGAAAGCAGTGGAAGGGTAGTGCTGAGAAGGTCACTTGACACAGTCGCTTGTGAAAGTGGCTGAACAGGAGTCCTAGGTGTTTCAGTTGCATGAAATCATGAAAAATACAATACTCGGCTTCAGCTTGTTTTCACTGTTAAGAGGCTTAACAGAGGTATAGCTAAATACCCTAATAGAGCACTGATTGCAAATAAATAGGTGTGTCTTGGGAAAAGCTGATGTAGATCTAATAACTTTCTGTTTCTTTTCCAAGTCTCCTTTGTTCTTGATGTTTCTCGACTGTGTTTGGCAGCTGCTAGAACAATACCCAGCAGCCTTTGAGTTTTCTGAAACGTACTTGACCATATTGTACGACAGTGCACGTATCTCGTTGTTTGGCACTTTCCTTTTCAATTGCCCACATCAGCGAGTGAAGGAAAGCACAGTGAGTATGAAGTGTTAACACCTACTTTTCAAATAAGTGACTTAAGCCTGCTCTTCTGGAAGTAACATCATCTAAGCTAAATGGTGTTCCTTAGTATTTTTCAAAATGTCACGCGCTGTTCGGAGTGTCCCTTGCAAGTGATCTTTGCCTAGGTAGTAACTAAATGTTCGTGAAGAAAGTTTTTTAAATTTTATTTTTTCCTAGAGAAGCATTGTTATTGTACATGGTTAGCGGTACTCCTCTAGGAAACAAATTCGTAATTTGGGAATTGGTAAAGTAGACTGACAGGCAATAACTAGAATTTTAGGTTTCAGGAAAACTTAAAAAAATCTGTTCATATGACATAATTGTTTACATAGTTGATTAAATTAATTCATTAAATACCTAGTGTCAGCTTAGTTCAAATTAATGCTTAAAATAGCAATGCACAATGAATGCTTATATAAAGATATTTAGAAAACCAACACTCAGATGTTTCTGAAAACTGCAGTTTGCTGGAATTCTGTGGAGAAAGCTTATGGTGGCCGTTAAAAGTAAATCTTACTGAGTTTTGTTAAACAGCTTCCCTTTACAGTTGCAGGTAGTAGCTGCCTTACAAAGAAATAGAATATTGAGAGACCATTAGTGTATTCTCCAAATAAGTTTTGCATTTTTAAGACTAAACAAATGAATAATTTAATATAATTGAAAGTAATTTTTGCTAAGAAAACATTAGTCCTGCCTCTGCGTTGCATAAATGAAAAGCAGAGTGCGGTTCTGTTCTCCAGCAGTAGACCGTTTCCTGCTGTTTTTCAAGCAGTAATTTTATGCACTGTTTTTATATTTCAGATTTGTGAATAAGCTTATTTTGTTTAATTTTTAATGTGCATAAATGTTACTTCTTGCAGGAATTTGCCATAAGCAAAAACATCCAGCTGGGTGATGAGAAAGGCCTCAGATTTCCTTGTGTTTGGGACTGGTCTCTTCAGTTTACAAGCAGGGATCGTCTGCTCTTTCACAACCCTTTGTATATCGGAAAGAGCGCACCGTGCGTACACAATGGAGCCGTGAAAACTTTTAAACGCTCAAAGGTAACGATGGTGGTTTCTGTCTGTGAATGGACAGTTCCTGTGCTTAGCCATAAAATGTTCTGCTCAGCAGTTTGCAACTGTGTAGTGTTTTACACCCTCATTGTAGCAATAGCAGTGTTACTTCTCTTAGTGGGGGAAAAAAAATCCACACTAATGATTTTCTATGGAAGTAAAGATCTCAGTTGGGGAACGCGAGGCTATTGCTGCGTTCCAGGGCGTTCTCTGGTAGAGCCGGGCTCACTGCCAATAATTACAATACTTCACCTTTAGAAAAGTGATGACATCCCTTTTGTTCCGAGGGTTGTCAGGCTTTTTTGCTGAATATTGATTGAATCATTCATTCATTGTTTCAGAAAGTTAGAAAACACGTATTTATTTTTAAAAGCCAAGAGTGGCCCTAGTGTTTCCCTGTGAGCCATGCAGTGGCGACTCATAAGCTCAGAGCTGTTTAGAGGCCACTTCATTTATCTGGATGATGCATCTTAGGGAAGTCTGTGGTTGGAAATGAGCATAAAACTGGAAAATTAACAGTATTTATTTTCTGCAGAAAAACTATAGCTCAACCTTGAGAGGTGTCCCCCCAGCATTAAAGAATGGAATCATCAGTGAGCAAGAGTTCCTTCCAAGAAGAAATTCTTTGATACTAAAGCTGAAACCAGACTTTTTACAGCAAGCAGAGAGCCAGAGTAACAGCATGGAACAGTACTTCAGAGACTGGTTTGCAAAGCCTGTGGATCTGCATGGCGTAATTCTACCCCATGTCTCTGGAACGCAAATAAAACTGTGGAAACTGTGCTACTTCCGCTGGGTTCCTGAGGCCCAGATTAATCATGGTGGCTTCATCACTGCTTTCCATAGAGTCTCTTTGCTGGCTGATGAAGTAGACATGTTAAACAGGAATCTTCGACAATACAAAAGCAACTCTTCTTTGCAAGGTAACTGCTCAGAACTGGATCACAGCAGGATGTACTTCAGAGCAAATGGTTTGAACGACACTTCGGGGGCTCCAGACTTTCTCTCCTCCTCATTCCCGTTTTCTCCTATAGGGAACCTATGCAGACGGAGCATTCTGGGAACACCTTTAAGCAAATTTTTAAGTGGTGCCAAAATCTGGCTATCCACCGAGACGCTTGCAAATGAAGACTAAGATGTGATGCTTTAAAGGTTTGGGGAGAACATAGCAGATCATTTTGTTTTTTCTAAGTTAACACTGCTAAATGCGGCATTGGAAGCTGTAATAATTTTATATACGAATATTAACGTAAGTTTTGCACAACTATTTAAAAGCAAAGCGAATCATGCTTCAAATCGCACAATTTTGTCTTTGGTAGTTCTCATCTACATGTCTTGTCTGGTTTCTGGTCCCTAAATCTTTCTATATATTTGTGGTTTGGCTCATTATGTGAGATGGAGCATTTCGTTTGCTAAATGAAAGAAAGGTTTGGTGTGGTCATTAATGAGGGGGTTGTGTTTGAAATAACTGTTTTCTCAGATTGTGACTGAAGTGAATCTTGTGTCAAAACAGATGATTAGCAAATCAAAGTAGAGTTAGGTGTAGCTGACACAGATTGACCGCACAAATCTGGGAACAAACTATTTTATCAGGTTTTCTTTTCAGGAAGAATACATATATGCATATGTACATACTAATTTTCTGTGACTTGATCACCCTACAAACACGTTAATGCAGTGTGTGTATCCATAGGGGGTTTTTTGTTCCCTTTTCTTTCTCTCCCCAAATGTATCCATTAGCAATTAGTCAGATTCATGCTCTTTGTCATGAGCTTGCCTTTAGGTCATAGGAATCAACTTCAGGACAATGCACTGTTAACCTTAAAACATTTACTGTAGATAATGGTATTGTAGTAGCCTTAGAAGTGCCTTTAATTGAGAAGAAATAGTAGCAAGAACACCCTAATGCAAATGAAAAAAAAAAAAAAAAGAACAACTTTTAAAAATGGATTGTTACGGTAAGGTCTTGTTCCACCCCCATCTCCCCTTCCACATTTCTGGAAATAACAGAAGGCCAGCTCAAGAGAGACCAGGTTTTCCTCTCTTAAGATTAAGCTTGTTTGTAAGTCTCATGAGTGCCTCACTGTTTTATTTAAGCACCTCAAATACCCAGCATTATATCCTGTGTACAGATCCTGATTCCCCCAACGCTCTCCTCATCCTAGAGTAGGATGAATTCGCTTTCCGCAGGATTCATACGTGAGTCCTGCTGGGTTCCAGAAAGGAGGCCAGGCGCTGAGTGGCCAAATCCAGGAGGCTGCGGGCAGCAGTGTGCTGGTGTCACTTGTAATCACGACTGGAAGAGTTGTTGTTACTGGTGCCTTTTTTTTTTTTTTTTTTTTTGTGTGTTTTTTTTTTTTTTTTTTTTTTTTTTTTTACATACTAGCTAGCCGATATGGACAGTGTAATAGCACTGTTTGAGGGAATGAAATCCAACAGCCTCCCTCTGCCTCATGCATCAGCCTCTGCGCTACTGTAAAACCTTTCAGTGATACCTCTCGTGTTGGAGCTGTGACAGAAAAAGCCTCAGGTTTCATAGGGAGAAAAAGGAGAGGGAGCGAGAGAAAGGCACGCTGCGAGAGGGAGAAAGGAAGTATGTTGCTCTCGAAGGCTAAGGCACGGGTAGGTGACGAGGACGCCTCTGTCCAGTACTTTCTTGTAACAGTGAGTCTGTATTTTATATTATCTGATTTCTGCATAAAACCCCAAAGCTACAGAACTGAACCAACACTAGGCCTCTGTTCAGGGTCTGGCTCGCCAGTTAAGGCACCTGATGCCTTATGCAATAGGCAAGAAGGCACTCTGTCATTAGGAAAAAAAAAAACCGCTGAGGATAACATGTAGTAAATGAGTTTTAAAAAAGGGGAAGGGGAGCAAGGATGTGGAGATATTAGTTAGTATGCAAAAGCTAACTGGTCTTCAGCACAGCCTATATCACAATAATATGGTTTTTGTGTGTCTAAGACTGCAAAAGTGTTTATTTTACAGAACATGCATCTGGAGTGGCCTTATAGGTGCAAACTTTGTGCAAGAGAAGTCCAGTGCATACAGGAGCATGTTTTCCCCAGACTGAAAAGTACCTAAACTAACTACACAGCTGCTGGGGGCACTGGGCGTGCTGCTTTCTCACGCTGTGTTTGGTTTGGCCGGGGATGAGTGGGCAGTTTGGTTTTAAAGGTGAGCTGATGTGAGAGGAGGGGGGGGAAAAAAAAAAAGAGACAACTCCTCTTTTTAACCAAGCAGAACCCCAAAAATCTGTTTTTATGCAAAGAAGATGAGTGAGAGAGTGCGTGTGTGTGTGTGTGTGTGCGTGTGCGTGTGTGTGTGTGTGTGTGTGTGTGTGTGTGTGTGTGTGTTTGTGTTTGTCTGCCCGTGTCATGGTGTATTCCAGATTGTTTCTGGTCGACTGTTTATGAAGAAGAAAGGTGTATCCACCTCAATTGCCTAATTATGCTGCAAGACTGAGCATGTTACATGGTCCACAAACTGTTGTTGTTGTGAATTTTATTTACAAGCTTGCTGGAGCTGCCATCTAACTTGTTCAATTTGTTATTCAAATGTTTTAGTTTGTGTTTGTGGTGGTTTTTAACTTGCTTACTGCTTCCCCTGGCCTGATACTTGACATAAAAGACCTCAACCTGTGTGCTTAATTGTCTTTTGGTACCTTTTTCTTTTTTTCCTTTTTAAATTACATTTAAAACTATACTGTTGTCTTCTTGCCTCCTTAAAGGAATAACTTTTTTTGGTTTAACGGTACCAAAAAGTGTGTAAATAAATTGCTCCACCCAGTTAGGCAACTGGTGGAATAAATTAAAAAAAAAATAATGCTTAGGCTAGTACCCTTTGGGGGGGAAAAATGGGTACTATATTTAAACAGGATTATCTTTTATAAGGAGTTTTCAGAAATTTCTACATTTCAGTTCTAAGATGTGTATAGATGCTGCAGATGGTCTTTGTATTTTGTATGTATTATATGGTGGGGAGATTGAGGGGGAAGGGCAGAGAAATACTATGCCTTTAAAATAAACAAACAAACTAACTAACCTGTCTAAACACCTATTTGCCAAACAGCCTTAAAAAAGAATTTTTCCAGGTCAGAAACAGGAGTTAGGCAAGCAAAGGCTGAGATGGCGGTAAGTGTGGGGCCCTGGGGTGGGGAGGACTAGGGACACTGGTGACTCCTCGGTGAGGGCTGCGGGAAGGAAGGGGCCTGGCCATGTTTCTCTGAAGAAGGAGACTAGGGTCTGCTTCCTTGTGGTCCTACAGTCCTTGCCTGCTGAGCAATTTCGACAACTACTGTGTGGATGCATGTGTGTACTTTCTCTTCCCCTTGAATAAGTTAAATAACTTACTTTTTTTACATTTTTGAATTTACTTTTGAAACAAAGGTACTAAAAATTTAAAGTAGTTGTTCTCTACTGTACACAGTTGCCTTATTGTCAGTAGGTATTACGCCAAACAGCTTTAATAGCTTTCAAAAGCAATTTTTAAGCTGTGAGTACAGCTCTTTAACTTCCCTTTACAAAATGCTGACATGCATTTTTTTACACACACACTTACATATAGTTTTTACACACACACACACGAAACTTGCACTATTTCACTATTTATTTTGGTGATTACTGGCTGTTATATATAATGACTTTTTTACTGCACTGTAAACCATTGGGGGGGGGTGTGTGTGGAATATGACCTGCTGGCTGATACTGTTAAAAAGTGTCCCTCCAATGTCATTACTGCAAGATAGAGGTTACTGTAGACTTAGCAAGCATGGTAGTACAACTTTATTCAATATTTACTGCCGTGTAGCAAAGAAAGAAATGATTTTCAGTCCAGCAATGCATTGAAAAGTGTGTGTTTGTGAGTATATGTATATCCAGGCCTGTGTGTGCGTGTGTGTGTGTGTGTGTGTGTGTGTGTGTGTGTGTGTGTGTGCGCATATGTGTGTGTGTGTCTGTGTGTGTGTTTAATATGCACCTGCCTGCAATACCACGTCTTTGATATTAACTAACTGACTGACTTGTATTTTTAATGAAGCTGTAGCAGGTGGGCAAAGGTTTTGGCTTATCATATAGCAAGAACCATTAAACCCAAAAAATTTCTAACAAAGTCCGTTAAACAAAGGATGAACGCCTAAATTTGCCTCCAACATAAGAGACAGAAAGCTGTCCTTTAAATTGCTTTAGACAGTAGGTTTCTAATGCTGTTGCTGCAATGGTTTAGCATTCACTACGTCAACTGAAACTAAAACCTTTTTTGTGCCTGATTGATAATGATTTATTGAGTAAAGTAGCAGTGCCAGGAAGAATATAAAATCCTGATGCCAAGTTGTGAATGTGACTTAAATTAGCCTAAATAAAAGTTCATGCCTTGCCACAGTGAACTTCAGGAGGTTTTTTTTTTCCTTTCACTTCCTTTAATGAAAAAATGGTGGGTGTGCTATTATTATATATATTTTTTCCTCCCCCCAAGAAAAGCCAGGGCCACTGCAGTAGAAAGCTGATTAACAAAACAGATGTGCAGATGATAATTTCTTACTTCCATCATCTTTTACAGTGCTTGCTGTTAGTATGGTAAGTAGAATTTTGAACATCCTGAAAGCTTACTCAGTATGAGGATGATGACTGCAGAGAAATGATGCTATTTGTTAAAACTGGAGAAAAAAAACATGTTTTTTGTTTGTTTGTTTGTTAATAGAGAACTCAGCGTTTTGCTTCCATTTCAGTCGACTGGCTTATTTGTGAATGAAAAAAACATCATGTCATGTAGGGCAAAACTGACTATAATGGCATACTGCAAATGAGTGCAGCAGTCTTGGCACTTGGCAGCTCTACCAGAAATACTTCCCCTAGTTAACAACACAGCTATTCAAAACAGAGCTGTTTGTTAAACAAGTTACGTTTTCATATGTAGCAGCAAATCAAAATAGGCATTTTTTAAAAAGATGCGGTTTATACCTCAGTCAATGCCAGTTTTACTTTTTCTATTAAATTCAAAAAGAAATACTTTGTATAAAGTGGGGAACCACAGAATCATGCTGGTGTTAACATAGTGGAAGGTGCTGAACAGGAAATCAGCAGAGTATGATGAAATCAGGCTACAGTAGCAGAACAGAAGCTATCAAAGACTTGATGCAATGCCTTTTTTATTGTAGATGAGCTTTTCGTTTGGTACACGTGATTGCAGCTATTTCTCTTGACTGGACGAAGACCCTAGATTACCTTTTTCTATACAAAGGTAATTAATTGTGCATAGAATAGGAAGGCTTTGTTCTTCTGAACACTGGTGAAATACAGTAGATCATAATTAGACAGTCCTCTCACGCTGTATTTTAGAATGTTTTTGTGCTAAGTGTAACTGCAGTAATATTCCATAAAGGCATAGTTTTAGGAGAAACTATTTTAAATAAGCGGCAGCCAGTAGTGTGTGTCATGTCATTTCCTTTAAGGATGCCCCAGTTACATCTTGATCACATGCGTTTTGTATGTCAGTTGTCAACTGAGGCGTTTACTCTTAGCTCCGACTGCTTGCACATGGCAAACTTCTACTGCAGCACCCAGCTTCTTAAGTTCACTCAGCCAGATGATCTGCTTGTAGGACAGGCGATCATTGGGACCTTTCACTTCCACCAGCTGCAAAGAAATTTTGATGATTAATAGATGATCTACACAGAGGAGAGCTAAAAGATCTTTATTTCCAGTAGACTAGCATAAGCTGTTCTCTGCAACAGAAATAATGTAGACAACACAACAGAAGGCCCAGGGGATGCTAAGTTATAAACCCAAGTCCCAAAGTTTACCTGTAATAAAATCAAATTTTGTAGAGTAATTATCCACCAAAACACAGTACAATATGTAGAAAAAAAATTAAGACAGTGGTGGTGAATGAAGATACTGCATATTCAAAGTCATCTATATTACCTATAGTCATTCATCTCCAATTTACATAGATCTTGGTCCCTCTCCCTTCAAAGCTGGTAACGTCCCAAAAAGCTGGAAGTCAAGCTGATACAGCAACTTACTTACTTAAAGAATATTACTTCACCTCTACTAGAGAACTAGTTTCTGCTATTCAGCTATGTTTTATGCAAACATAACAAGATGCTCCAGCAGCTGAGAGAAGCCCAATACTCTTCTGGCCACTATCATACAGAAAGCATGAGTTCGTTTGCTCAGTTTTTGTAGGACACAGAGATACCGTTGTGGTGAATTTTTTCTCATCTATTCAATTTTTTTTGCATAAGTAAGTAAGTGGTGATGTTAGCGCCCCTTGCCAACACTTGTCTGAATGTGCATGAAATTGACAACCGTTTTTTTTTTTTTACAGTAATTTTAATAAATGATCTAGTCTACAACAGTACGTAGCTACCTCCTGCTGTTTCTATTGCTTCCATTAAAGGTATAACAAAAGGCTTAATGAAAGGACATATAAGCAATTAAAAAAAAAAACAAAAACCATTGATCACTACAGCTGCTTGGCAGATAATGAGCAGCAGGTTTTGCCCCACTGCAACAGGAAAATACAGGTTGTATACTCTGACAACAACTAACTAACTGGAGTGTTTTCCAGCACTGCTTCTTAGATAGGCTCAGCTGAGCACGAAATATTCCATGATCTGGCAACATACCTTGAAGTGATTACTATGCGTACTCCACACAACCAGGTCAGGAAGCCCCCCTTTGCAATGGCGTAAATCTTTAGAAAGTCGCCTAAAAACGCCACTCAGAAACATTCCTCCAAGGCAAGAGACAAGGCTCTGTAAGAGAAGGTTGCATTGGTTTTCTTTAAATTTCCTGTCCAGCCATTTCTCAGCTCTCAAAAAATAATACTTTTTGTTTAGTCATGTGTAACTAGCAATGTCGATAGATGTTATCTACAGGAGTCTTCCTGCTGTGTTCCCAACTACTGCTGCAGGAAAAGCGGCCATATCAGAAAAGGGCAACTGGGAAGGTGAGAGGATTTAGGAATAGGGAGAATTGTGCTTGAGTCCCACTTGCTTCCCCCCCCCACTCTTCTTGGGTCAGTGCCTCAGTACAAACTTTGTGAGCACACTATGGCAATGTGTGATTTTAACCGTAAGCCCGATGAAACAGCAGGTCCACTCTGGACAACTTGTTATTTACCTGAACCTGCTGGAGGGAAATAAAACGCCCCCAGCTAACTAGTGCTGCTGCTTTTCCCTCCTGAGTGGTCCAGATGTCAGTGATCAACTTTGTCAGAGTTGCAGAGGAAGCGGTATGAAGCTGCTGGAGTCTGGCCTCAATGACATCCCTCCTGTTCTCATAAAAGCTGTCAGTGTATAAATCCAGGGGGGACGTCTGTATGAAAAGGTAAATAACAGCCCTGAGGAGCTGCCTGCAAAGCAGAGATTCCAAGAATGACAATGCCCTACCGCCGTAAATGTCACTTTTTTTTTTTTTTTTTTTAAGCTGAACTTAACTTGAACACACTCATCACTTAATCCTTTATTAAATGGGGAAAGATTTGCATAATTTTTAACGACTGATGTCAGTGTAGCAAACTGGCCACATCTTAGACCATGTTCTGTAGGTTTTTATTAACTTAGGAAAAAAAAAAATCTAGTCACAGAGGTTTCCTTTGAAAGGAAACAAAAAGCTAGCTGCTCTCCTAACTCTCCAAGCATAATATTCTAGTCAGTATTTGAAATCAGCAGCAAAACTGCAGTGACCAACAGTTTGGCAGGGGGAGGGGGGGGGGGAGGAGGGAGGAGGAGTGGGGAACAAAGCAGTGACAAATTTGGGGAATATCACTCAGGCCTCTCAAAAGCAGAGAGAGTAGTGCACATCTCTTCTACCTGTTATGGTATAAAAATCACTGCAGCAATTACTCAATTTTGAAAAAAAGGAAAAAGGCTAGAAAGCAGGTGAGTGGCATTCTAGTTTCTCAAACAAACACAAATGCAGATCACTTCAAGGATATGAACTTCAAACTTCCATATACTGCTGCCACAGCCATGCTAACACCAGGAGAGCCCAGCCTAGGAATGACTGGAAGAATTAGGTGGAAGTTTTCACCTTGTCCTTATTTATGCCTGAGTTAGTTAGCTTTGCTCTGCATTAACGAGTAAAATTTAGTTAAGCACACACACACACACACACAAAAAAAAAAAAAACCCAATGCAAAAGAAGAGCTGTAAATATTGAGCATGCATACATGATTTTTTTTTTAAGTAGGTGTGATCTGTATGTAATGAGATTATATACAAGAGAATGTATTTAGAAAGGCAAGACCTAGGGTAAATGGTAGTTAGCACTGACAAAGAATACCTGCTTTTAACACAAGACATACAGTTAAGACATACAATTAACTTACTTCTTATAAGAACAGCAGATATGCCACATGAAGTTAGCTGTATGAATTCCAGTTACTAGTATTTGTAAGGTCTTTGAAACTAGAGCCTTATTAGCAGTTTCCTTCCTCACATGCCTGCAAGTGCCTTCATGTCCCCCCTCTCCCTCTCCCCCCCCCAAAATGTCCAAAGCAAAAAGGACAGCCATGGCTCAGTTATTCCTGTAACCAGTATTCAGCCCTATTTGGTATTCAGCCCTATACTGGATCATATGAAGAAAAGCAGCAAGTTGTAAAAGACATTTCAAATAGTCATTACTAAGTAAGCAAGCAGTCTCTTTACATCATTAAGTAGATCTCCACAGATCTGCTCATACTTACAATCAAGTTCTTGCGGGTTGCTTATTTCGGTAATTGACTGTATGGCTTGTAAGTATACATATTCATATTCATAATACATGTCAGCACAAAATTAAAAAGCTTAAACGTTAGCTTAGTGAGAGACTCATGTATCCAGAGTTTTGAGTTTCATCCCACTGGCCTGTAATAAAAATCATTCTGCTGTAGATTTGCTAGATTTTACATCCTTCGCTCAAAGGACTCTACGTAAGAAAGTCCTTAAATGAGCGTATCTTCCTCTCCCCATATAAAAGAGATGTTTGTAGGGGCCACTATTTAGGGAGACAGCCATCTTCCATGGCTGTCGCCAGCTGGTTCCCAAACCACCAGCTGGTTTTGACGCAATCACACCGATTTCTACTACATACTGATTAAGAAAAGTTTTAAAAAAAGAAAACCCTACATACTGATCGTAAAATAGAAGAGGAAATTTCTACCTAAGATACTCACAGTGATATTAACCTATAACTGCTTGCAGTACACATAAATCCACTTAAAGAAGAGGACCACTCTGGCTGTTTTGCCTCTGATCAAGGAATCAGAAGGAATGGGTCGAGGTGGAAGGAAAAAAGAGGAGAGTTGTCTGGCCTAGTTTAGTTCTACTGCATTTGAGATAGTTTTTTAGGGCTTTTTCCCTGTCAAATGCCACTGAATGATCAATATATCTAATTGCAAATATTAAAATTGTTTCTACCTGATATTTATGGGCTGTATAGCCTCTACCTAAAAAATAGAAGTTCACCTGCAGTCATCGATCTTAGGTTTTGCAGGGATTTGTTTAGGGGGAGGTAACTGTTGTTTCTTTATTTGTTTAAAAAAAAAAAAAAAAGAAGGATAAGACAAAAGGCACAAATACGGGGGGTGGGGATGGTTATCAAACCTAAGTTTAAACATCTGGATTCCCTTTAAAGTCTATTGAAAACAAACAGATTTTTTATGGAGGAGTGCGTCATCTGACCGATTTCACTCCAAATGAGATGAACTGTTCTATGGACATGTCTTTTTCTTCCACTAATTATACAGAAAACTTTCACCAGTGAGTTCAGATATAGGACATCTGCATTCAGCCAGATGAAGCCCACCTCATATGGCAGTCAATCCAGACTATGAGCAATTAATGAGGAGACCTTTAGGAACAAGCCCAATATAACAACTGATAAAAGTAAGATGACACCAAGATCTGTCTGAAAAGTCCCTCAGAATAAAAAGTTGCAAATCCAGAATCAAAGTTTTAACATGATTACCGTATGTACAGCAAGGGGTAAATACGGAGTAAAGAAAGCCTTTCAAAAATACCTGATAGCAATTTCTGAAAACATCGGGTATGTCATCCATGAATATGATATCCCACATGAGAAGTCCATACAGTGTAATAAATGTTGAACCTTCTCCATGAATCCCTAAAGGACAAAATTTAATAATATAAATACCTCAGTCATAAACATGGAAACATTTATTTCTATAGCAACATCATAGAATCGCAAGTACATCAGAGTGATACAAAATAGAAGCATGCCACACTTAGGTTTATACACAGCTGAAGCCAGTATATACCGGCATTGTAAATGTCTTTTACTATTTCCACGATTTGCTAATGCTTTCCATTTCAAGGACAGTGGCTTTTACTAACAGCATAAGAACAATATAATTCCCTGTCTTGACTAAAGTTTACAGTTTCAACTTCATTAGGTTTTAGTATATTAACACCTACTTACTTTGTTGTATTTTGGTTTTTTTTTTTCCTGACCTATATATTCTATTTCTTGATCTATACATTTACATTAGTCCAAGGCTTTCCAAAAAGTTGTAAAAACAGAAGAACAACTAATAATCAAACTGAAATGCAAGCTTTTCTAAATGGAGTTTTTAAGTGTCTTGCTAAGGTGTATCGTGTTTTCATGCTCATCTAGTACCAAAAAACACATACGGAGTTTACGTTTCCTGCAAATCTCTTACAAGGCACTGCTGGCATTAAGCCCCTACAAATAAAATGGCTGTTCGCTAATTAGAAAGGCAAAAAAAGTGATTTTCTATGGGGTTGAAAAAGAAACCTCTTTTCTTCCACATTTCAAAACTGCCTTTGATATACAGAGGAAGCAAAAAATTAATGGCTAGGAGGAAGGCCAACCTGAAAGAACATATTAGAGCCTTTAGGGAAGAAAACAGAATCAAATGAAAAACTAGTCTAATGAAACAAGCTAAAACTGGCCTAACTAACTGAACTGCTTAATAAATTTGTTCTTTACTCCCACCAGTTATTTTGCTGTACAAAAAGAAGCTACTATTACCCTGATCAAAACCATTCTGCCTATAATGAGTCAACGCCAGTTCCTCAACAGAGCACATGACTGTGGATACACTGCAGTCTTCACTTCCTTCTTCACCACCAGTATCCTCCATTAGAAACACAGATTTTCCCAGTCCCATCTGAGGACACATCTTTCCTTTGATCGTAACCTGAACATCATAAACAAGTGGTTACTTCCCAGCATCACATTTGAAAAGCTTTAGCATAAGTATTTCAGTATCGCCTAAAGAATGTGTCTCCTTTTCATTTCCTTAAAATGAGAACCAGAATGCTTCCAAGAATCAACTGAATAAAATTTAACCTCCCATTCCCCTGATAGCATTAAAGAAGTACATTTTGGATGACAAATCAGCTTTTCTGAACTGACAGATTATTCAGGAAAAAAATACTGGACAGAAGGGAATGTAGTGTGTCTATATTTAAGACTGGGAAGAAAGAATAGCAAACGACTGAGGACACTGATTTTTCACTTGAGAAAAAGTATGCAGTGATGGGGTTGGGAGGGAAAGAGAGGCTCTGCTCTGACTCTGCTCAGATATATCTTTGCAATATCAGGAAAAAGAATAGGTCAAAAAACACAAACATTACAATAATGATACAAGTGCCTACCTCCAAAGGGTTAAAAAACAGACAAACAAACTTGCATTCACTTGAGCTCGAGCCATTGCCCTAATGCTCACCACATGCTGCTCACCTTACTATTACTTTTGCTTAGGCACAGAAAGCTTGGCCTAATGATACACAAAAAAACCCAAGAGGCTATACCCAGATTTGCTTAGGCTCTTCAGACAGAAAAGTTCTGATGGTCTTACTACTGATAAATTAGTGAAATTTATATCTGGTCAGATTTCTAACCCATATTTAGTAAAACAATGCAAGTTAAATCAGTGGAATACATCTGACTAACTTCAGCTAAAAAGTGGACCCTTTATTAAATAAGTAGAAATATTTGTTTACAAGATGTTTTTGTTTTAGAAATATTTATGGCTCTATTGGCTTTCCCACAATACGAATAGGCCACAGGTTGGTACATAGGCACATAACGACAGTCTCCAGGATTCTTTCGTTCTTCTTGTCAGAAGAAAAAGACTTCAAGAGTTTGTATTTTTCAGAAATCGCCAGCATTGTCACTTACATGCGTCACATCTTCCACAGTTATGACTGGCAGATCATGCAACAGGGATCTGAACTGTTTACAGCTTGGTGAGTCTCTGATTCGTAGGGCCCGCTGGTATAGAGAGAAACGATGCCCAGTACGGACAAAGGGGTCTGCAAGCCCATTTCTAATGCAGTCGATGGCCTAGCAAAGAAAAGGTAACAATAATTTTAAAAGACCAGTGCTGTCTGTTCTTAAAAAGCCCAAAGGATCAATTGATTTAAAGAGCACAAAAGATGTGACTATAAAAAACGGCATATAAGACAAGGCTTCCTTTCTTACTGATGTACTGAGGTTAAAACCATTAAGTAACATTTTGCACTGGTAGGCTGCTGAATTCTACTTTTGGTTGTACTAATACAGTCTAAAGAAACTACTCCCCATTTGTACTGAACAACACAAGATTAAGGAAGTGTAAATTCTACATATTCATAGTAAGTGACAAGAAAAAGGGAGTTAGTGCTACGGCAGAAAGAATCTTTTCCTCAGTATTACTCTACCCAAGTAGCACACAGGATTATTTTTCTTTAGCCAGTTTCTTAGCAGTACTTAATGTGGAAACAGCAGGACCAGTTCAGCTGTGCAAGAATATACATACAGAATAAGTTTTACATCACTGCATTATTGCACTGAAGAACATCCAGGATTGCAATCTAATTATAGACTGAGAAAACTTAGTTTAAATCATGGTTCTGACGCAGTCTCTTTTTGTGACTTGGGGAAGGCCCTTTGTTCCGATTTATACATGAGGAACTGAGACTCACTCTTCCTCTGTACAACTTCCTGTTCCAAACGTGGGAGAAGCTAGATACAGAGGTACAAGATGGGGAGGGAGAGCTGCAGACATTAGGTATCTTGTGCTGTTATTTCCTTTAAACAGAGTTACAGAATGAAATGCAAAAGAAAATATGAGCATTTTAATTCCAACTCTAAAGAACCTTACTGAGGGCAAGTAAGCAACATCACACAAAAAATAATTGTCATTCTCTGTTGATTTTAAATAAATCTACAGTTGCTACTATTCCTTCTCTAAAATTTTTTTCATTTCTATTTTTCATTGCTAAATTAGTCAGCTATCTTAGCTATGTTTAATTATACTGCCCTTCCTTATTTTTCTTTAAAAGTTGATTTCGGTCTCCCCATAGTTTCTTCTGATGTTAGCTCCTGTGACCTAACCAGTCCTACACAGTTTCATTTTCAATCACTGACAGTATTTCTCTTTTGCACGTAACAGATAGGAATAATGAACAAAATATCCTGTATTTATAAATCATCGGACCAACAGCTGATACAACTACCACTTTCTGTTTCTTGCACAGAATATTCACGGAACCACAAATGAGTCACAAAATTAGTTAGACGGTGGCTTCTACTCCTTGTGGTTTTCAAAAAGAAAGTCCATAAACAGCTCGTGCTGGTTCGCAAGGAAGTCAATGGTGCAACCTGTACTGCAGCTTACAGTTTTCTCTCGTTCCTATATATCCTGCTGCAGAAATCTATCCAGAGGTGCCACAGAGTTCTACAGAGATTTACAGTAATCCTTGCATGCAACTATGCCATGCTATTTTCAATTTGGCCACATGCCAGCTAATCACTGCGGAAACTCAAAGACTGCTCACCACGGACACAATGTTTCTAAAAGCCTGAACTGCATCATTTTGGCAACTGGAGAACGGCAAGTTTACCCACTGCACGATTACGTGGTTTGCTTTTATAAGCACACCCTACTGGAAGAGAAGAGGGAAGAAGATAAAGTTTCAGGAAAAGCTTAGATTACCTGAAAACCTCTCCTCCCCTCCTGTACCTTCCTAAGGAAATTACACAAACAAGGATGAACGTTGCCTGTAACACATGCTGTCCAGAACCTTTAATGTTCTGGCTTTAATGATTCTGCCTACCAACTTCTTTCCCAGTATAAGGTTGCTCAGTTATGATTTCTCCTGCAGCACCGCGGAAATAGTTTACATTTGCTGTTACCAAGATCGACACCCCTACCAGAGCTGTGTAGCAGTAACAGATATAAAAATGGGGTCGTCTACTGCTTGACCCTGAGGGAAGAAACCCCACACTAAAATTGGTCCAGACAGAGAAGATATCCTTCTCCCCACTGGGAACAGTTAGCCAAAGGACTGAACTCTCTTAATTTGTGCTCTGAAGACATTAAAAAACTCCTTCCTATCATGTTCGTTTTTTTTTTTATTCCAGATACAGCCTCTTCATGACTCAGGTTCAGAAGTGGAAGTGTTTACTGCAAGAACTTTGCTTCTCACACACCAGGCAAATCCATGAGGCAGAATGGCTAAGCAAGCTGCTGCCTGACAACCCTGTACAATCCTTCATGTCAAATAGTGTTCTTCTAAGCAACAGAAAAAGCAGGTCAACCAAGGATGAGGCTATTCACACTCAAACTGTAGAAATGATTCTGTTTCTTAAGATAAATTGGTTACTTGACCTTGGGATGCCTACCAACATCTGAGCTTTTAGCAGAGCCTACCCAGCTGTTCTGCTCATACCAAATACTAATAAAATGTTTACAGGCAATCACTCCAGGATTTCCAGTATTACAGAATGCAGTACTGAGGATACCTTCTTAGTGTTCTTCAAGTGCTGATGCAAATTCAGAGCTAGGCGATCCCACCATCGCCCTCTGCTGTCAGTACAATACACTTCCTGAGACAAAAGATTCTGCAGCTCCTGCACGGCTTCCTAGAGCAACAGGAACATGTTTTTATTAATTGATTTAGAAAACCAAGTTGGAACTTCACTATATAATTTAGCATGTCACTTTCCCTTCTAATTATCAGGTACTATAAGAAAATCTGTCTCTGCAAAATTCAAATCCCATTTTCAGTCCAACACCCAAAGTATTCAGCTGTACAGGTGTTTCTTAACAGCACTGGGATAAATAGAGATACTTTCATTAAAACTTATAAGTTAGCTGCAAAAAACAAAATATTTCTGTCCTTATGGTTTATGAGAAAGGCCTGAGCGTTATTTTTTGCCTTCTTGCAGAGGTAAAGTCTTTTAGAAGAATCTGTTTTGCTTTAACATGTAAGTCAGAGGCCTTTGCAGATGTTACCTCCGGGTAAAAAGGCAGGGGATTTCACAGAAAAGTTTTCGTCCAAGAGTTTCATATTTAAAGGCAATAACCAAATCTAGTGAAAAACAGATACCTTTAAATAAACAATGATGTCTCAACAGCAGTCTTATGCCATATTAGAACCCTGTTAACTCTTCAGGTCTCCCCCAAAATCTCTGAAGTATAACCAGAAAATCAAAATATAGTTTAAAAGATGTGGTCTTTCTTTAGAACATTTTAATACAGCAAGAAAAAAAAAAAAAAAAAAAAAGCACTTCTTACTTAAAGGTAACCTGTAAAGAGAACTGCAGCAAGTCCTAGCAAAAATTATCGCTATTTTCCAGCTACATCAGAAAAATACTTCAATGCCTAAGGAAAAAGCAAACTGTCTTATAATATACCACAAACTGCAACATCACTGAAGTCAGCCAGTGTGTATTTTATTGAACAGTCTTGTCAATTAAAAACGTATTCCCATTCACTCCACTTTACCTTATACATGTGAAGTCTCTGCAGAATTTCCACACCTTGAGAAAGGATTCTTGTATACACCCAGCCAACTGTGAAACGTCTCAGATACTCAGGTAGAGCTCTGTGATGGCTGAAAGACGAGAGCAGCCCAGATCACTTTAATGATGACAATTTAAATTCTTAAAATTCTCTTACAAAAAATGCACGTACCTAAAGCGTTTACAACAATGAAATGCCTTATTATGCCAAAACTGAACTAAAAAGAGTATCAAGGGTGCAAAGTCAAGAACCCAAGGGTGAGATAACAGTAGAGCTGAGGCGGCACATGCAAGCTGCACTTGTACAGCAGCTTCTTTCAACAGTTGAGGAATTATTAGCTAATGATTTTTACATCAGATGCAAAACAATTAATAATTTATTAAATCATGTTTCTTTACTGCCAACTTGTTCTATCAAGTCAGCAGGCTAACTTCAGAAACTTGGCAACAAACAAAAGGAAAAAGTCAGAATAGTCCTTTCCTTCCCTAAAAGGAGACTAACATCTTTTAGTTAGGCACCTCTCTGTTTCAAGGAGTACTCTTTTCAAAGTCTTACTAAAATCAAACTAAGTTCTGCCACTGTCTTTACTGTGAAACAGAACAGACCTCCAAATGACCCTTTATGAATACTATTTTAAATCAGTTGTCATGACAATTAATATAATGCCAAAAATACGGCTTTAATTTTCAGTGTATCATTAAGCTTTAGAAAACAAAATAACTAAAACAAAATCTGATGAAGGACTCGTCAAAAACAATACACTTCAATTCTTCACAATGCTTCAGTTCTCAGATCTTTAGTAATGTTTCCTGAATAAGACCTACTTGGAAGTTCCAGCAGATGAATAACCCAGTATGTTTTCCCACAACCTTTGCAACATTCTTTTGTTCATAGTGAATTATAAATTCTGCTGATTGCTATCTGTCTGAAAGCCACAGAAACAAACGATGACAAGGGAAAAGTAAGGCTCTTGTTCTCCTGCACTGGCATGCTGAATAGTTGTTTTAGTGCTTTATCCATGCCTACCAATTCACTCCCAAGTTTTTATTAAAAAAGACCTTTTCATATAATTTAAAAGCTAAACAAACAACTAGGAAGTTCAAAGCTTTCAGGAGGCTCTAAAGCTTCCAAATTTTACATGCTGAGATAACATCACAAGTCTATAAGCCTGTCTCAAAAGGAACAGCACCAAAAGTAAGATAATATACTTAATAGTAGCATATGAACATTACGCAAAATTTGCCAGTTTACTACCTCAGAGAGGGCTGATTTTTCAGTTCATTCCAGGTTTCTTTAGCACACGTATAGAGACGATTAGCCTCTGCCCAGTTCCCGTTTGCCATTGAAGTGGCTATATCATTTGACAGGTGAGCAGCAGTTGCATACCTAAGGGAAAAAAAACACTGTAATCACTGTAGCAGGTCAAAAAGTACGTACAGTTAAAATAAATCAATTCCTCCAGACAATACTCTTTAAAATTCCTTTCTAGTCTCCAAGGGCATTAAACCATGTAGACAACTTTATTCTTATCCTGTAGGATCAACGGTTTCTAGTAGCAGGATCCACTATGTTTAAAATTACTTCCCGCTATGTTTAAAATTATTTCTAGACGAAAGAACATACCTTTTTTGCTCAGGTTTCATTCTAGTAAGCAACACAGCAATGTAAGAAGAAACTTTAAACAGCAGATGATCACAAAGCAAAGAAATATGCTGTCTTGGTTCAAAATACAAGCCCTCATGAATTAGAAGTCTTACCTGGATAAAAAAATGCATTTCAAATCATTACAGAAGTGCACTTGTGCCTGTTTATCATCTGCAGCTCTACATCATGAATCTCTTATTTGCCTATACAAGTACTGCAGCAAAGCTTTTCTAGAAATAAACACGAGATTTCCAAACTGTCAGAGCTCTACCTACCTGATAAGGTCATCTCTGTCCTGGAAGATTTCTGTTTTCCTATTTACAGTGTAACTGGGGAATGCCATACGCCCCATGTTTACCATAAGGACAGTGGAGAGCTGGCCCTGTCCACCACTACCAGCTTCTTCATCCTCCACAGGCTCAGACAGTGAAAACAGCAGCAGCACTCGAGAAAACACAGCCCGGGGACCTTTACAGACCCGGACAGATTTTCCAGCCAGGTCCTTTGCCCTAGAAAGATAAATTAAATGATTAGCCACATCGCTTTTACCATCACTTGTAAAAATCGAAATACAGTGAAAGAAGTATGAGAATTTTTTTTTTTTCAAGACAATTACTGTGTAAACTTGATCTTCCCTGAAAGAAGTAGCCTGGGACTACTATATTGTGCATGTAACCCCTAGTGAAAAGCCAAAGAAATGCATTAACTAATAAAAAGTGTAAGTGATGAACTTGAAGCAGAATACAATTCGAACTCAATGCCCTTCAACTCCCCTTACTATGCCAGGCAGTACCAATATGCAACAGGACGCGGTGAGCTGTTAGGATAACCTTTAGAGACAATCTTCATTTGCAGAGCTTCATCAAGCCTTTTCGTACAAGAAAAGTTTTTGTCACTTCTCCACAGGACAGCACAGATTTAAAGCAAGATTTTCTCTGATTTTATGGGTAATTAGTATTTCAGCTGTCAACTACGAGACAGATCAAAACATTCCAAAGGTTGACACATGGCTGAGCAAGTAATTACGTACACAGACCAATCTCTTCTCTTGGAGTGGGTAGGATGGACGGAAGCCAGGGTCAAGGACCTTTTTGGAATCTAACTCAATTTCCCAAGTTCCTTTCTGTTTCCTTTCCAACACAGCTCTAAAGATTACCTTCCTTTCACCAAAAAGGTGAAAGGTTTTCTTTCAGGATGTAAGCAAGAGCATGGAATTCTTTCTCCGCCACTGCTAGCTCTCCTCCTTCCTGATCCAGCCCACCACTCAGCAAAAGTGGGGAGAGCCCACATCAGATACCTCCTACAGCAAAATGCTGTATTCAGTCTCCGAATGCATCAAGATCGGAAGCGTCTTGCCCAGGGAGTTTATGCGTAATCCATAACCAACCTCCAGGAGCTAGCGTATCTCATTTCTAAGAATAAACTTTTGTCGATAACCACTAAAACAAAGCTTGTAAGCCTTTCGTATTTGAATTTTTCATCTGTTAGGTCATCTAAATTGAAATCTAGTTAAATAAATAATTAAAATTCAATTAAAGGGCTTTTCGGTTAAAAAGCAAGAATATGCAATGTAGAATAATGACTAGAATACAGTAGATGGGACTGACATGCAGCAGACCAGGCATAATACAAGCACAATGACACATATTTTTTAAGACTGTATCTGAAATAAAAAGTGGAATTTCCTAATTTTAACTAGTAGAAGAAAACTTACCACACATTCTAAGTAATAACAGAAATAGAGACCGAAAAATAAGAACAATTCATTACAAAATTTGTTCTAATCACATGTTTAGTCTACTAGCAAACTTGACAGAATGATACAGAGCATAATTTTTTCTAGCCTTCCTTTATACAGTTTAAGTTAATATTCTGAAAACAACTCAGTTCATGTTTGGGACATTTATACAAATTATGCAAGTGTCAACCAAGAAAAACTCTCTGCTAAAAATCAGCCTATATTTCAATAGCTAGCATCAAAGAGAAGAAGTGAAATCTCAAGTGCAATAAAGTATTTTCATACTAGAGTCTTTTAAATCCAAGTTAGGATGAGGAAGCAACTGCAAATCCTTAAGCTGAAAAAAAAAAAGTTGTTATCACAACATCCCAACATCCTATAATACAAGATGATCATGGCTGTGACTCTGATCACTTTACTTGTTCTTCTGTAGACCAAATAAAATGCAATGCTACTGGAGACAGTGATGTCGTTATGAAATACTATTTTTAACAGAAGGGGAACAGATAGAACTCCCGTTGTACTTTAAAAACAATAAAGACTGAATAAATCTGCTTTAAAGCTAAACACCAATGCAAACCTCCCAGCTGTGAAAATCTGCAAGCCCAGCACTAAGCTGGCATTAGGCATTTCTTTCACCATAGGAAAAAATAATCTTGCTGATTCACCTAATAACTCTCCTTCATGGAAAGGCAATTTTAAAGCTCCTCTTCCAATATTAGGCGCCTTTTAATATAAGGAATTTTGTGGAGAATCACATGATAAGATTTCTGTGGGGAATATCTGTCCAATAAACGTATCTCTGCACAATTTGACAAAGCTGTCTCTCTCTCTCTTTCAAAGAACAAGAATACCACAGGAAAGACAAGCTATGTTATTGGAGTGAGAAAGCATGAGCAAATGCAGTACATAGTCATACTTTCCAGGTCTCTACCCAACCTGCATTTTGCACAAAAATAGGATTCCATAGTAACTGAGTTCAGACCCTAGTTCTCCAACCTACTAGACAACCTCACAGCTAGACAAGCTTTGTTTATCTGCTTGATGACTGGGACAGTCACCTTTTGGTATCGGCTGGTCAGAGAGGTAACTGTGTAAAACAGCTTCTAATCTCCAGAAGTATGACTTGTACCCTAGCCCCAGCTCCTTTGGCTAGTACTTTAGCTCATATCCCTAGACTTTTTGTGGATGATGTAGTTACAGATCGTGTCCTAAATACTGAGAATAATAATGCTGTAATCCCTTCTGCTATGGCCAGACTGACACCTTGGCCTGAATCCGGACGCCAGAAGAACTGGAAGCCAAGGGTCATGGCATTTGCACAGCTGTGGTAGCTACAGTGAAAAAATTCATAGGAGAAAAGAACACTGGAGGATACATCAAGCAAGCACACTATATTCTCCCTTTAAAAATACTGCCCAAAGAAAGACTTTGTGCTGAAGTACAAAGCCAATCACAAAAAAATTATTGCTCTCCTCTAATTCTATTAATAGAGTACACCCAGCAAACTAACATCGGAGAGCTGCTTTTATAGGCGAGTACTTCCCCTGCCTCTTCCTACCTGGTTTCCTGCACTGACTTTGCTTTTACAATTCAGAAATGTTTCTCCGACTGGATAACTTTGGAGGGCAACACTAAAAGTCAGTTTACAAAGGACTTAAGTGTGTTTGCCTTTTTAAAAATATATATTTTTAACAGTCACAAAAATTAAGGTTGGAAGAAAAAATAAACCTATGCAAAACTGTGACACAACGTCAAGAAATACAGAAATCGTATTCTGTTTCACTGTCAGATAAGCAGTTCTCACTGTGCTTATAGACTTATGGAAAATAAAATGAGGTAAAATAATCAGTGAAACTGATATGATAATATTCTAGCCCACTATATATGGCAACTATGATTTAATTAGAAAAAAAAACAAACATTAATAGAAGTTCTACTTTTTTTTTTTTTTTAACAAGAGAAGGATAGATAACCATGCCCACAGCCGAAAAGCATGACATAGTTTAAAAAAAAAAAACCCTAATACTTACCCTTTTGTTTGACCCAGGAACTAACACTGTCGCTAGTACTGTGAATCAGCATTTAATGTTGCCCTTCCTTACTCTTTAATTTACAAAATGCACTGCTCTCTTCAAAAGATATCTAAATTGAGTCCTCTGAAGCACAACTTACGTTCACCTCTAAAAAGCTTAAGTAGTACCTCTTCAAAATTACTGTCCCAATACCAGTCTGACTCTTGCTGAAGACTGAACGTTGTTTTGCCAGCCTCAGAAAATCATCCACAAGTTGCTGTTTCTGGCCATTTGGGTTAGGCAAGTGAAAGATCTTTGCTAATGTTTTGAGCTCAGGGGCTGAAAGCAAATCCAACCCTTCACACAGGTCTTCCAGTTCAGATTCTAAAAGAAAAATGATCCACATGCATTCATTATGTGTTACAGATACAAACTAAAGCAATAGTTCAAAGTATAGGAAGGTTTTTAGATAACTTCTACATTCCTATAACCTAGCACTAATCTAGTGACTTATATTCCTCAAATGTATATGTTATTGATGCTGGCTGTTCCAGCCTGAAATTCATTATCTTCAAAGGTCCACTTTGAAGGAATGGAACAATCAGAAAAATCCTATGGCAACTTCAAAACGAAAGCATATATAAAGAAATGTTGCTGAGTTAAATAACTGCAGCTCAGAAAAACTTTTCTGGCTTCCTGATGACTGAAACTGCTTACCCAATGCAAAACAACTTACTGTCAGGGAGCAGCAAGAGCAGGGCTGCTCCCTCGGGGGGGGGATAAGCCAGAAGCCAAGGGTGACCACAGCATAGGCAGCGTCCTCACCAGCCAGGGCGCAGTCCCACCGTATGTGAACGGGATGCAATAGAACACGTAACCCATCTACCTGAAATCTTTAGCTACTCTGCTCCTCAAAACATTCCTCTAATTCTCTACTCAAGGCACAGACAAGCACGTAGTGCATTGAATTTGAACATGTCACAACTGCAGATTTTACTTACAGTATTTTTAAACATTATTAAATGCATCCATACCTGTTTGCAGAAAGCTGGCTTCAATCAGTTCTTCAATCACTGGTAACAAATCCACGCTTATCTCTCCATACTCTATTTTGTTCACTTTTATCCAGTTCAGTTTGCGTTGAAAAAGTCTCACATATAACTTCTGCCCACCAACTGCAAATTTTATTTAAAGCAGGGAAGGAGAAGAAAATTAAATTGTAAAACATTGTGTTACACATACTCACTACTTTAGCTATAGAAAAATGGCTTTGACAGAGCTATCTATTAAAATATATTTTAAATCTGCCTGTCTTCTATAGATAGAATTGATAAAATACCAGAACTCACCCTTCCAACTGGTTATTGCTCATTGGAATTTTTAAGTTTTGTAGATAACAGAAATTATTACAATGTATTTTGTTGGTAATAAACCTTACTCAAATGTATTTTGGACATGCTTACCCTGCAGGAAATAATTTATTTTCCTGGAAAACACAACTTCATTTTTCGAACTTTGTGCATAATGTGATATTAACCAGGTCTCTTTGTTTTCATCGGTGCTCATACAATAACCACTCATTTGATACTGGGGGAGAAAAAGAAGCTGTATTCTGACAAAATTATTTCAGAATCACAGACTATCTCTCAGGTTAGTCTTTAGAGTCTTACTTTTGCCAAAGGTAAGTTTAATTTTACTAATATAGCTACGGAAGTCAAGGAAAGCACTCCTCCTGATTTGTTTTTAATCAGGGAAGATATCTCTTAAAGCAACTTTTAAAAATACTAACAATAATGACATTCAACTAAATAACATAAAATCCTAGCTGCAAGTTATCTAGATATTATGGCAATATTCAGCACCCTTTTGAATACCTATCTCACCCTTCACAAGCTTCTAATCTGTTTATCCGTGTCTGCTGCTGCTCAACTGTAACTGACCATTAATAAAAGCACACACTGAATGAAACACTGCCAGACCTGGATATATTTAGGAAATTGCACTTAACTTTTACATGGTTATTAAACTGTTCTCCTGTCTTTAAACAGACTTCTCCAGACTTTTTTCAACAAAAGATTTCTAGGATCAATTCACTCGCAGAACTACATTCAGAAGTGTAAGTTTGTAATTTTCCCTGTGAGGATACAGCTTCTTTGAGGTCTCTCCCCAGTTTTTTACAACTCGGAAAAGGGAAAGAAAAGGTTGACTAACATATCCATATCCTTTCTCCACACCATGGAACCTGACAAAACTAGGTCCGGGGTTCAGTAAAGGCCTGTGAGGACTGCTTTATCTCCAAAGGCTTTGAATGACAACTAGGAGAATAAAAAGGTCTTGTGCTAATAATTAATTGCTTCTTAAGCATCCTGTTCTGCATTATATTACTTTTGATGTTTGGGTTTGTTTTTCTTTTGCGGTTCTTAAGAGTTTCTGATATGTCTCTGAAACAAAAAATTTGCTGACTTGAAATATGACCAGCAAAAAACACAGATCAGCAAAGTCCACTCTTTGTAATTCTTTAAAATATAATAGAAAAAAATACATTTTGGCCTGTTAAATTTTCTTTGCATCAATTCCACTGGGGACAGCAAATCAACGTCACAGATACTATTGTTTTGCTCTGTACAAGTTGGAAAGAAGATTTCACAAAGTACATTAAATAGTGCCCTCAAAATTATGTGCTTGTTTTTAAATTCTTCCAAGCGCAACATGCAGTGAAATCAAACCCGGAGAACACCAAAAATATTTTTATAATTTTACACTTAATTTCAGACAGTTCTCATCATGAGTACAAAGCCTGACACTGCAGTGTGGACTACTCGCTATTCATTTTCAAACCTTAAATGAAGTTCTCAGATTTTTTTCTGTTCTATTATCTCTGTGTTCTGTATCTAGTTCAGCGTGCAATGTTGCAGAACCTGCTTATCACTGTGCAATGTTGCAGAACCTGCTTATGGAAACATATGGCTGCACCTGTGCTTTTCCCTACTTTAATTTATTGTTTCCAAAAAGTGGCAGTGATCTATACCCACCATAAAGCCCATCCACTTTTGAGAAAACTGGGCAGGAAGGAAGGACTGCTTCAAATTTAATTTTATCCTTTTAAAAACATCATCTCTTCATAATAAGCATTAGAGATAAAATAACTTACTGAAGAAAGTCAGACATTTTAGAAGAAAATAATGAAATATTGGAGAGTACCTATGCTCAAGTAATTTAACTTATACTATTAAGTATGTGTATGTATTTTTTTTCTTGTTATGATAACTGACAGACAACAGTCGTTTTGGCAGAAACTTCAAATGTGGAAAAGATATCCCATCTACCTGAACTTTTAAAGTATTCTTTCCGAGATCTTGAAGGTAAAGATATCCAGCTGTTTTTTGTCCAGAGCTGATTATATATTGACTTTATGCTATCTGATCACTTCTCATAGCTGAATTACTCTGTTTTCCCTATCCTGCAAAGAGAGATTGTTATACTTGTGACTCCAGCAGCCAGTGCAGCATGGATTTATCAGCCCTGCTTTGCAATAATTCTTTTTCTGTATTCTTAAGTCCTGCGAGAGGGCAACACTAAAAACACATCACGGAAACAGAAAGCAGCCGTCCCTTTACTTAACAGAGAAAGTTACTATTACTGACAAGAGTTGTACTTATCTAGAGAAGGGAGCACAGAAATAAAGAAGCAGTTTCCTGAACTTCTCTTTTAGTACTAGACAAAGTAGCCAAAAGTTGCATCCACTAATGACTTAACTGCAAATTTATTGCCAGATCTCCTTTGGATGTAAATGGTATAAATCTACTGCTTGCCGCATGGAACCTGGAACAAGAGTTTTGTTGCTTATATTACATTTTTTCCTTGTATATTCCTGTTTTAATTACCACAATGTAAACAAGCTGTTATCAAGCCCCAATGTGTCCCCATATACACGTTTAGGTGGAGAAAGCTAACTATTGTATATTGCTATGGACCCTAAAAGCAGCAACTGGCTCTGCGACCCACTCCGTTTCCACAGGTTTGACTGCTTGTGTTCAAGGTCAGCTCGGATATGGCACAGCCACAGCCTGGGCTCACTGCTGGGAAAAGAGCTGTGTGAAGCTTCGTCAGGTGCCTCCTCCCATTCATTTGGGAGCTGCGTTTAGGCTCGGGCCCTTGCCTACGCTATGTGCAGGCACGCAGTGCTCAGCCAGGTCCCTCGCTGACTTGGCTTCCTGGCTCGACCTTGCAGCTGCCTCCTTGCTACCAACTCGCCCACCACCACTGGTGCATGGCGGCCCCTGGTTACTGGTGCCGGACCCGCTCTGCTCTTCTTGCCTGGGCACTGTGGGACCTTGCCCCTTGTAGGTGAGGACACAGCTCCTGCCTGCCTCGCTGTCATCTGGCTCACCTTCCCAACACCTGGCTCACTTCCCCACGTGCAACAGCCTGCTCTTGCTGCTCCCTGACAGATACATTCCTGTTATGATCTCTTCTTACCTAAAATATTCTCACAGCTCATAATAGTATTGCTTTCAATTATTTAAAAGTGTTCAATATTACTGCACATCATTATTAAAATACAGTCTATAGGAACCTAACTGTGACCAGGTAATCACAGCAGAAATGCCTGTGCAAGCTGAACGTCCTGCTTCCTCCCCCGCAGGTTTTTCACCCTGTTAGCAACCATCCGTTAAAGTGGTTTGAGTTAACTCAGCAGATGAGGAATAGTCACACGGTCTTTCACAGCTGCTGTACTCTGGAAGAAGATACCAGGCTAACAGAGCCATTCCTACAGATTGTCTGACCACAGTTTAAGTAGCCTCTAAAGAGACAGATAGGTACTGACTCAATTTTTCTATGGAAGACAGACTACAAACCGTTTATCAGGACTGCAGCTTTGCTGAAAAGCATGAACCAACAACACCTTTGCGTTTTGGCACCCAGTATTCAAAAACCTTGTGAAGTCGCACAAATTTATCAAACATCATTCTATTAGTCTCCATATCTATATGAGATATTAGAAGAACATTTGCTGAAAGCCTTCTGTTGGACCTAGGAAAATCTCAGGTGATCTCTCATCAAAAAATCAAGACCTTGAGAGATTTCTCTTTTGTAATGTCTTGTGGTGTCAATCCACAATATCATTTGGGACTTTTTAGAAATAAACAGTAAGGAACAAAGAGCTCTGTGCAGCTAGGGTAATTTAAAGTAGTTATATCACCATTTTTCTTCCAGTTTGCATTTGGGGAAAAAAGGTCAAATGGATTCAGTCTAAAGATTGTACGCTAGTGGGGAAAAAAAATTCATGTTCAATTATAATCTACAGAGAGAAAAAGAACTAAATACAACACAGCGGGTTTACAATGGGAAATGCTATTCTGAAGTACAATATAGTTTGCAGTCCACTAGTTAAGCTAAACTGAATTAACACAACATGTTAATAAGTGCAGCCTGCTCTCTGATTGATTTTTCTAACAGGTATGCATGTAACTGTTCAGCATTTCTGCACACACAGGCTGGATGCACAAACTGACCTCACAGAGCACATACTCAAAAACACTTTGTCAGGGAGCTGCACATTACCGTAGTGGCTTAAAATTACATAAATGGTTAGGCTTGTAGTAGTTCGAGATACAAGCTTTCATGTGGAAGTTGGTATAGCATATTCCCATTTTAATGCTCCAAGTCTACAACTGAAAATAGTGCTGACAAACCTACTCTTAATTACACTGTAAGAGAAGTTATAAACATGCATAATAATTTGGAGGGTTAGTTTTAACCCAGATCACTTCTGCCATGCTTTTACAGTAAAACTTACGAGTATACGATTCGGGCAACATTTCTGCTTTGAATTTTGCCTAAATATGGAGGGCTTAAATATCCAACGTTCTGGCACTTCCTGAAGCTAATGAGAGATAAAAGTACAAAGCAACTTATAAAGTGCTACACAAAAATGATTATTAATTGGCAACTAGCATTCTGAAAGCTGGCTAATAATCATCAAGATGACCATGGGCGCACACCACGTATGGAAGTCATAGTAAATATACTGAATCAAAGCTCACAAACACACACCTGAAAAGTATTTTTCCAAGGACTAAAGGACTTTTACTCCTTATTTCAGACAAGCCTCCACTATTTATCATTATGTTCCATTAAAGCAGCATTAGGGAAGTGTACCTACAAGAAGCCACTGGAGGTATATAGCTGCTGAGGAAAACGTGTTTCTTCTCTTAAGAAATTTACCAGGCTTGCCCATCGTACAGCACTCTTCACATAAAACTACTTAACAGCTCTCTCTACAAGACACAATGTGAGAAGACAAAAAATTAAAAGGATACCTGATAATTGGCAGAACTTGGTAAGAATGTGTATGTCTTGATCATTAAAGAGTCTCACATCATCTTCGTTCTCCAAGACTGCTCGCAGCACCACTAAGAAATTCTGGAGGTAATACGGGTGGCCAGGAGAGTTGGGCACAGACCTAACCTCATCGTTTATTTTGTCTAAAATGTCATCAATTGAATTATGAAATTCTACCTTTTCCACAGTTTCTGACAAAGAGGGATTAATTTCATCCTTAAAGTCTTCATGAACTTCCACAGGAAGTACCTGCACATCATCTTCTTTAAAGCAGTTTTGTCTATTACTGCTTGCTTCTGTCCTAGAGGAAGGAATACCCTGAGTATGAGGCTGAGTTTTCACTTCCAAACCACTGGTCAGCTCTGTTGCAGTATAAATGGCTGTACGTGCGTCAAGTTTATCAGAGCCAAGTAGCACGCCTTCAGAGCTACTTTCTGTTTTGGTGCTCCTTGTACCAAATGCTAGTCTTCTGCCATTAATGGTATCTGCTGGTAATGATACCTGAATAACATCCACAAAGTCTTCTCCATGACATTTGTTTATTTCTTCTTGAAGTTCAGGCTCCTTTTTTGAAGGATTTTGCTCCTCTCTCTGAACAAGCTGATTTTCTTTCTGAGAACTATGCCCAGCACAAATCTCCTCCTCATCCAGTGCTGCAGAGCTTTTGCATATATTGGGAACAGCGTGAGATAACGAGTCAGTCTCCTTATACACTATCTGTTTTCCTTCCTGGATACGACGTCTTCTGGACAGTTTAGATGACAAGCTTCCCAAAGAGATGACTTTAACTTTTTGAGCCCAGGATTCGTTGTGAACATTACAGGCTGAATTATTACTGTTAAAATAAGGACTAACCTGTTGTGCTGCTCTCACTTCTGTTTTCAACAAACTGTTTTTGGAAGAATTTGCTTCTAGAGTTGTCCTTTTTTTTGAAAAATATGAGCTGGAATTATTGTTCATATTGGCATCCAAAGGCCTCTCATTCATAAAACAGCTTATTGTTGAAGCAGCCACACCCACTGTACCATGGTTCCCCTGACACATTTCATCCATGTGCTCGTTTATTCCGTACCTTGGCACCATGTGCCCGCACATGGGGCAGGTGATTTTGGCAGGGGGAACATTGCTAAAAAATGAAACAATAGAGGGGGGGGTTGAAGCCCCAGACTGTGTTCCTTTAATTTCCACATCTTTCTTTGTTCCTTTCTTTTTCTTATTTTTACTGAGAGACAAACTTAGTCGGGATCTTTTAACTTCTGAAGACCAAGCTTCTGCCATTATGAAATTTCAAAGCACTTACATAACACAGGCTGCTTCATTATGGTCATATTTTCTTATTCTGCAATACTTTCTTTAAAAGAAAAAGACTTCCCTTAGCTTCGTGTTTTCCACCTGTGATCCTCTGACATGCCTTCAAGAAAAGAATATGAAAACGTTCAGCAGAAGATCTTTTAAGAAACCAAATACAATCAAGATGAACAGTGGCGCGGGGAAAAACAACTAAACCTGGGAAAGTAAACCCATCCTTGATTACTACACTGCAACTGTCCTTTTAGCTTCTCATTGTGCATGCCCATCATGTTGAACACTGCAGCTGGCTTCATGGGAACGGTTTAAAACACAGAAATACTACGAGCCACCAGCTTTGACAATTTAAATGCCGTGTTTACTCCCGATGTAAATTGTGATAAAATTCAATTTAAGCATCTGGTTTTTTAATTTTCTCCAGTGTCTTGTTCACTATGTATAAGCAAACAACTTTTGATGCCAACTATCTGCTTTTACAAAGGACATACCGTGTGCGTGTACACAAAGAACATGCCCAACGCCTCGTGGCATGCTTTGCGTTGTTTTCACGGCACTTCTGAAAGCGCTGAACCCACTGTGGCTGTTACGCACTGCGCTACTCGGGCCCCGTCCCAAGCAGGCTGCCCCCTCTGGCGCAGCACAGTGCAACACGGAGCTGTAATCGGCTCCGTGCCTTCCGGACCTGCACGGCATCCGAGGGCGCCATCTCAGATTTCTGAACTGATTTCTGCTCGGGACGATAACGACCGCGACGGCAGGATCCCGACGGCCGCGCCTCCCCGCCTG